TATTACAAACCCTAATCTTTTGTCAAGTAGGGTTTTAAAAAGGAGGTAATATCCTAACCATAAGTTGTTGGAGGTTAATCCCAAAAATAATGAATCATGTGAATGTCCTGGTTGAAATCTAGACAATTTCTGGAGTTGGGCATTAGGTACAAAATTGGAGATGGCAAATCATTTTCTATGTGGGATTCATCTTGGGTCCTTGGATCCGACTCTTTTGTGTGTAGGTGTCAGTTTGAGTTTGGCGGGGATAAAATAGAAAGAATGTGGGATCTTAGGACTAAGGGAGGTGCAAGGTGGGATAGAAAGTTGATAGAATAAACTTTTAGTTTAAGAGATGATGAAATAATCTTAAATGGGATCTTAGGACTAAGGGAGGTGCAAGGTGGGATACAAAGTTGATAGAACAATCTTTTAGTTTAAGTGATGATGAAATAATCTTAAATTACCATTCAATAAGGAAAAAAAAGATATGATAATATGACACCACAATTCTAATGGTCAGTTTTCTGTGAAGTCAATGTATAAAATCCTAGCCAATGATTTTGAATTGTGGCATGCAAAACCAGAAACTAGTAACAATTCAAAGATGGTTAGGAAACAATTTGGCAGAAAACGTAGAGGTTGAAGATTAAGAACAAAGTTAAAATGTTTATGTGGAGGTGTTGGAATAATATTGTGCATCATGTACTATTGGTGTATTTAAGATTTGAAACCTAAAAAATAATTTGTCATAAAATTGCAACGTTTAATACACCAAATGTCTATATTGCAACCTCTGACTATCTGTGGCCCATTTTTCACCATAAAAGCAAGCGTAGGAGGCGCACATACCAAATTTGAGGGCAAAATCTTCCTTTCATCTTCGACTAGTTGGTCGCCCATCGCCAGTAAGTGGCGTCCCCCACGCCTAACACCATGATTTTATAAATCCTGCCCGTCATCTTCGACCCACCTATCGGAATTTCAGAACCTCTCCCCATACCGTCAAGGAGCTTGGTCGAACGCCGAGCGCGCAACTCTTCTCAGCACATCATCTTCTTCTTTATCTAGCATGGTCCTTTGCACCCTCCCAGACACAGCACCAAAGGACTCTTTTTCTCGGCCGGAGTTTGGAATCAGACTAGCTCTGTCAGATTTGTGACCTAATCCGTAGGTGACCTGGAAAAACTCAGGCGGTGCAAAGGGCGTCCTTCTTAATCCGCCGCCTTTGCCCTCAGCCTTTGTGTGTCGACCTTGTTGGAGCTCCATTTGGGGCCCAATCAGTTACTCGACCTTGGTGTGTCGTGTTAGTGTTATATACTGAAAGCTTGGCTTTAGATGATATTACACTTTTACCCTTTATGAGTGAGAAACATGTTAGATTAAACAAGTTCTACATTCTGTTGTTTTGTATTAGATAGTGTGGGTCGTCATCGGGCGAACCGAAGATCATACTATCAGTTGCTCGCGAAACAAGAATCAATGGTTCACAACCTAGATGGACATGAACACCCCATCATGAACGGTTGTAGTGCCAACCGTACAGTTTGTCTTGACTGATTAGTTGCACTAGTACATTTATGTATTGAACATGATCCCAGAGAGGAGCAGTTCGTTTTATACTGATCGTCATAAACGGACTAGGCCTCAATTAATTACTGCGTACTCTTAACCCGTAAGATATTAAACAATCATATACGTGTAGTACTTATTACGTTGATTCACATGGGTGAGGCTTAGTGAGCTGGGCCAATAGACCCGCTGTCTTGGGTAATATTGTTGCATGTAGGATGTGCTGTTAGGATATTTACGGTCACCATGTGCGTTAGTTTGATGATGTCCCCGGAGTGAGTTAATGATGAATGTTATGCTAAACCCTGCAGGTGGATTAAATTCCGGCATAATATGAATGTGATGAACGAGCGCTAGCTTCGGTGAAATAATAATATATTAATTAATTCTTGATTGTCAGTGATCGAATTAATTAGTGAACATTATATCTTAAACATGGGGAGATAAATCGAGTAATTAGTATTGGAATCTCAATTGTAAATTGGGCTAGGAAAATAGAGTGCAATAATATTATGTTGGTGGACCATTTAATATTATTTAATTATTTAAAATAAGTGAGCTGTTTAATTAATTAAGGAACTCTTCTCCTAATCTCCTAAGGGTCCCTACTGTAGCTCTATATATACATCATTAAGCTCATGGGAAGAGAAGAGAACTCTCATAATCTCTCATCTACACACAGGCCATCTCTCTCTCTCTCTCTCTCTCTCTCTCTCTCTCTCTCTCTCTCTCTCTCTCTCTCTCTCTCTCTCTCTCTCTTAGTTCCCATTCGATTTTTATCTTCTTCTTGTTGTTCCACTGGTACAAGATTAAGAGGTGTTTGAGACATATAGTAGAAAATCTGTAGGTAATCCGAGACGAAATATATTTTATCGTACAGAACTAACTAAAGGTCCGATCAAGGTGTGCATCATACCAGACGACCGTCTCGACGAGAGCTTTCCAACGACGCCGTCCGACGCCGCATGCGCCCTCACGCGCCACCGGAAGGTCCCAGGACTGCAAGTTTAGTTTCATCCGTTTTTGCACCCGTTTGATCCGATTTTCAATTCGATCTTGTTCGTGCAACCCTAGGACGCGATTTGCAGTCAACTATTTATTGGTGTGTTGTATACGACCATCTAGAATATCAGTCAGATCGCCATAAATTAATCGTAGTAAGTTTTCTACGTCAAACCTTTAGATCCGTTGCGCATAGGTTTATGTTTGCTATTGAATTCGTGATTTGTCATAACGACATCCTCATAGATCCCAACATGTCGGCCTTCGACCTGATTTTACTGTGTATGAGAGATTTACCGTGTGTGCGAGAGGATGAAAGAGGAAGAATAAATAGAGATATAAAATGAATTTCTTTTCCCTCAAATGTAGTATGTGCTTCTCGCACGCTCGCTTTTTCAGTAAAAAATGGGTCGCCGATGGTCGAAGGTTGCGATATAGACATTTCGTGTATTAAGTGTTGTCATTCGCCACAAAAGATTCCTTAGGTTGCAAAACTCATATATTCGAATAGTACATGATGCAAAATATTATTTACCCTAAGCAAATTGCTATAACAAGACAATTTTATCCCAAATTTGAATGGGCTATAAAATTAATAAACAAACTTTGATGAAGTAATTTCAAATTGAATTACCATCAAAAAAATTGATATGGCCTCTCTCTAGCCCTCCCTCTCTCTACAAATTTTCGCAGCATGCTCGGTTTCTACTTTCATCTCCACCCGCGGCAGCGGCTCACCACACCTCACCGGCTATGAGTAGGAGTCAGTAGTTGTGGTGTTCTATGGGGACAGCGGCTTGGTTCTCCGACGGTGTTGGCCAGGATGGCGGTAGCCTCCTCTCAATACCAGTGTCCTAGGTGGGCTCAGATCTAGGCCCAAGCGTCGTCTACTCGGAGCTACCTAGTCAGTTCGAGTTGGACCGAATTTTCTAGATATGAGGGCTTTTGATTTGTGGTCCTCAGTGGTATTTGGGACTGGCTCGTGTGGTGGTTCGTGTGGTGACATCGACAAGTTTGCTAGAAGCAAAGGACTAATTAGTCTATATGTAGGTGTGTGTTGCAGTCTTTTTTCTTGTTTTCCTTTAGTTATTTAGAGTCCAGGTGTGATGGAGACGAGGCCCTTTCGGATTCGAGGGCGAATCCTCCTCAACCCGGGGAGGATGATGGAGACGAGGCCGCGTTGGCGTTCATGCAGAAATATGATCGTCTCCGAGTCTAGTTTATTGGTTTTCCCGGTCTTTATTAGTTGTCGGATTATTAAGTTATTATAGTTTTCATTTATGTTATTTTTATTTAGTGGAGTATTTATTTAAATAAATAAGAGTTTGTGGAGTAGTGGGGTCTTCATATATGTAACCACACTCCTGAACAGTTAATCCCATTATCGTATTTTTATTCTGAGAAAGAAATCTGCTCTTGTGTTCGTATTTTCCCTTTCGATTACATCCTCTACAACAAGGTGTGTCTGGTTCTTTTATCTCATTTTTGGAGTTATTTTCTCCTTCTATAGGAGTGTATTTGGGTGTTTATGTAATTCCCCTGGATTGACTCTGTAATTCTAATGGAGAGGAGGATCCAAACTTAGTTCTTGTTCTAATGATGTCAGTTGATATATCGGGTGTACTCTGTCTTAAGTTTTTAATATAATTATCATTTAATTAAACAAAATCAGATTGGATTAATGTTTAAAACTAGTAGTTTTGATTATGTAGATTCAAAAATTGAACAAATTTTCAAAAATTGGTCACGTAAATAACAATTGGACTAATTTTTAACGCCCTTAAACTATGTCCCAAGAAATGAAATTCCCGAAAGCCATACTAACTCGAGTACGGTGTTGTTCAAGAGGGTTTACCACATCAACTATCAACATTCAGAGGCTCCATAGAGATTTACATGTATGCACACATTGCTGGCAACCTTTATCAATTGAGCCTCGTAATGGGAAGAGTCGACCCACTGCCCACGCCTGATTTTTAACCAACGGCCGCACATACGCACACCCACACCGCCCAGGTGAGTGGATGAGTGATTTTTATCCAGCGAACCTTACACACAAATCACACTATCCAGATAGATAGATGTGTATTGATCTAACGGTAAAAAAATCGATATGAACACTACTCACACGAGTAGGGTTAAATTCACCATCATATTGTTAGATCACAACACTCCTAAATCTTCAAAAGGTAACCAACCCATTAGATCCAAACATGCTAACTTAAAAAATATGTCAAAACCAACAATCATCATCATACATTATTAAGGTCACAACACAAACCAGAAAAATACATATTACATACATCCTGATCGTCTATAAAGGGAAAAACACAAAAACAAGTCAATAATTTATTCCTGAGTTTTTTTCAAAACATGAAGGGACAACTAGGAACAAGACTGGACACGGTCGAAATAATCTTCATTTCCCAAACATGAAGCACAACAACTCAAAGCTCAACACAAAGGTAATTAATGATAGGCCCGGACCTCCTCTTGGTCCGATCACTAACCTTCGACTTCTCGACTAATACCTTCTTCAAACGGGCACAAGTAGTGACCATGGTGGTGACCCCAGCTACCCTGATGCCTGGGCAGTAAACCATGTGGCACGACTCGAGCAGTGTGCAATTTCTCGAGATGTGACCGAGGCCCACGTCTGTTATCTGGCGACAATGTGATATCACCAAGTCTTTCAGTAATGGACAACCTCGACCTAACTCCATCATTGCCCCATCTCCCAAGTTCTATGGAATCGAGAAAACAAATGAGCATATTCGCATCTTTTTGCATGTACATCTCATGATTTTGGACTTAAGATTTAACATGCAAAAGAAAATCACAACACAACTAGTATGAGAGGTCTCATAGTTTTCAAAATTATGTAGTCCGTAAAAATAATTGTTTTTTTCTTTTTTAAGAGTACGACTTTTGACTTTTGAAGTATGAATGTTTGCTTTCTTTTAACAGTATGATTGTTGCAAATAAAATTGGACACAAATTAGCATGAGACAGCAGGATATGTTGGTAAATCGGATATATTATGCGAGTAAATGCAATATATTTAATATTTATGCTTCAATATTCATTTTTATTGTGGCGATTAAGACGAGCCAACTAATTTCATGCGCAAATAAATACCAGCATTTCTATCAAGCATAAATACCACAGCATTTTCAAGGTTTCACATTCTACTCTGTATTGTCAACTTAGGGAAACCAGAAAATTAAATTTTGATCTAGAAGAAATTCAAAACAAAGACAATTCTAAGTACACAGAAGAAAAATATGATCCAATAAAGCAGTACGGCTGCATATGTGCAAATGCAAACATATTTAACCTACAACACGAATCTGGAATAGAAAAAACCCGTGGTCCTTTTTTGGGTTCTGTCAAATTGCATGATACAACAATCAGAAGGAAATCTCCTAAGTATTGATGCTGTTTCCTAAGAATAGAACCCAGCCATAATTCTTTCACTAAAAGTGTGTAGACAGAAAAGGGGAGGGCGAGGTAAAAAGCCAAACCTGAAGAACACTAACGTCCAGGTAACTGAGCTGAGGGCAGCCTCTGGCAACAGCTATTATTCCAGCATCCCCAATTTGGTGGCAGCCACTTACATTCAAATATTGTAATGAACAGCCTCGGCCAATTGATATCAGTGCCTCGTCCCCTATTCTGGTGATCAATCAGCACCATATATCAGATTTACGAGAGTCAATAGACAACTAATGTGTACTATATTAAAATGCCACCAAAATGTTAATAATAGACAAAATACAATCATCAAATGTGAATTATATTAAAATGGCGAAAGTAAAATTGGTATTTTCTGGACTGATGTCATGTTTATCTAGAATGCAGCAAATCAGTACGAAAATTGAATTTTCGACAACTTCCATATTCCAAATAAAAACTCCATTTTGCGCACAAAAAATTCATCCAGCATGAATATTATCAGCTAGATACAAGTTTTGAATGACCATGATTATCTAAACGTAAAATTTTAAATTTATGTTTAAGTCAAGACTGAAACTTAAAATATATCAGCGGATTGAACTGATTGGATCAAAGAAACGATATTATTGGCATACATGATAAGAAGATGCAAAACGCGAGGATCACCAACCTGTCACAGAATCGCAGGCTGAGATCTGTGAGAAATTTACAGTTTTGGCCAACAGCAATTATCCCTCTATTTCCAACCTATTAACCACGGAATGGAAACTATAATCGGAACTAAGAAAAATAATGTGAGGATTAAACTGTTCTTACTTATTAACATACAGTAGATTGATTAACTAAATAGATAATATAATATTCACCAGTTTTCCAACAAATATACACTTTATTCTGCAATGCGGTTCGTATATGAAAGAGTAATATGAATTTACTCAACAATGTTGAATCACTGTGTTTTAATTAGGTACCAGAAAACACTGAAATAAGATAATAGCTCCATATGTACGAATTGTATTTCTCTTTGATACAACAGGCAATTTTCGGAGGTGGATCACAGATTCCGAACCAGATATATCTATCATAATTAATTGGGAACTTTATATTTCATTTAATTAAGGCTACATGCAGCTTCTTCAAGAAGGCAGTAAGTTCATCTGAAAAATGCAAACTCACCATACAATTTTCACCAGGTTGCGTCGACAAAATGGATGTCGACAGATTTTGAAATAAATACAGTCAAATTACTAAAGTCCATGATAAGGAATAAAAAAATACTGGGTGTACTAGTTTATGTTCTTCACGAGGTAAAAACCATGGAATTAACCAAGGCAACAAGTAAAATAATGCATAGAAGATTATTACTCGAGAACCAAGATAGCTAATAACAGATAATAGTTTATTAAAGAAGATAACAAAGGGATTTTCACTGCAAGCAACGGGAAACTAGGGAAAAAAGTAAAATGAAAGAAAGTAGAGAGAATACCTCATAACATCGACGAATATGGAGCTTCCTTAGGCTCTTACACCCTCTAGCTATACTGCATATGGATTCATCCCCAACAGCTGAGCAATCTACCAAGTGAAGAGCTTGCAAGAATTTGCATCCTTTACCAATTTCACTAAGTCCATCATTTGCTATCCTCTGACAGTATAGCAAGGCTAATTCTGAAAGCCGGCTGCAGGCATAGTTTATCAGATCAGGAATTAGAGGCATTTACTAATGGCAAATCAGGGGCTATGATATAACGAAGATTAATTTTCAGTAATGCAACAAAGAAAATGTAAGTCAGAGATAGATGAGCAAAATTAGATGAAATATAATAAAGCAAGCCCAGGTGGGAGGTCAAACACTTACGCGCAATTTTTCCCAATGGACTTCAGTCCATCAGTTCCAACATTGTGGCAGCCATTTACTTCAATATGCATAAGCTCTGAGCAACCAGCAGTTATAGAATCTAAACCCTTGTTGCTTATAAAGTAGCAATCGGTCAATGTAAGGTTTTTCAACCTTTTACATCCTTTTCCAATGGCACACATACTCCTGCAAGAAGTAGAAAGATAAACAGTAAGCAGGCAAATAATTCGTCTCCATTTAGATGTCTTAACAGTTCCAAACCCAGAGCCAAAAATAATAGGAGAAAACAAAGGTAGAATAAAGAGACTTATAGATTGCTGGAAGTCAACAGTGCTACAACACATTTAAGTCAAAAGAAATTTAACTCATACCCATGATCTTTCATTGGATTCTAGAAAGTACATTAGACATATCACAAGTCAAAAATAGATAAAAAGAATGAGACCAACATTACACAGCTTCTGATCACAACCCACTAACAGTAATCAACAAAATAATCTTTAAATCACCTTACTGGGTATTAACAGTTCGATTCTATTGATGATTGATTCCCTGGATACAACCAATGATCAATCCGGTCAAACAATCTACTACCCCAACTTAATAGAAGTATTAAAAAAAATCACACATTATCAATGGAAAAACAAAAAACCATACAATAAGGAACATACAACAATAGTTAAGAGCATAAGCCAGTGTTATCAAATGGCGGCCATGGCGGTATGGCGTGGCGGATTTTTGACAATCCGCCATGCAAAATTAGTGAAGGATGGCGGTCATGTCGGCCGCTATGGCGGAATTTTGCGAACCGCCATGTACCGCCATAAATAACACTGGCATAAGCTACTGAAATTGTTGGAATGTCCAACTACGAATTATTCCACTTGATTGATTAGGGAAAATTAGCCCAGTTTATAAGAATCGTTAGATATTGTTCATATCACCAATTATTTTTGGGATGAAACCTAACTTAGGTAGCGACTAGACCCACCCTTCGATTTGGTGTGCGTCAACTTTGTGAGACCACATCAACTCCGCCCGAATGCATAAATTTGACATGGTACCAAAGCGCGATCAATGTGGAGATGTGATAATTGATTACCAGGCCCTAGGTGGGATCTATGAATAAAGGACTCACAAGTGGTAGGTGTGTTGAAAGGTTCACTTGTGAGTTGTTCCACATTGATTAATTTAGGGAAAAATGAGTCATTTATAAGCCTAGTGAGCTTATACTATCACCAATTGGTTATGGTACGGAACCTCACTTAGGGACAGCATCCTTTAATTCGGTACGCTTCCATTGTTGGCCAAGTCCGCCCCAGTCATGAATGCATTAAATTGTAAAAAAAATTACAGAGATCATAAATGTCAAAAAGGGAATACGAAATTTTGTTTAAGTCGGGATAAGGGAATACGTAACTTGAGCAATTTTAAATTACCAGAGGATTAAAAGTAATTCTATTATGAAAATGGAAAGAAAAAACAACAATAATAACAATGTAAACTAATTCCAAAAAGAGAGATGAAAAATGACCTATCAGTGATTTTCTGGAAGCTGTACAGAGCCAACAATTCCAATGAGAGACAGAAAACACCAACAGCTTGCAAGGCCTCATTTGTAATATTTAAGCACTGTAGTTTCAGAACTTTTAGACTAGAGCATCCTTTGACCACAGCAAGCAAGCCTTTATCATGAATTGTTTCCGAGTCCATTGAAAGAGATTCAAGAGATCTGCAGTGGGATCCCACAGCTTCTAATGAGACATCAGTAATTTTAGCACATGCAGCAACCCCAAGTGACTTCAGATTCCTGCCGCAACCTCGAGCCAACTCCACCAGTCCTGTGTCAGTCAGCCCTTCACAGAACCGCAAATTTAATTCCTGGAGAGATTTGCAGCATTCTCCTACAGCAGTTAAGCCTTTGTCTCCGACATAGCAGCCCTTGGAGAAGAGACGTGAGAGAAAACTTGTTTAGACATAATCAGTGCATTAAAGAGCAATCACAACATACTTACAAGAAAATTTATACCCAGGAAACAGGTCACATTTAAGTAATTAGAACAAGAAATGAAAACACACTAGTGTACTAGGGCAGTCACCTGTAAATCCAAAGTTGTAAGAGATCTACATTTCTCAGCCAATGATCTTAACCCTACATCCGATACACTAGAACACCATATAAGGCTCAACTTTTCGAGTTTTACGAAATTGTCTCCAACAGCTGCCAGTGCGGAGTCTGATAAGTAGCTTGCACCAATCACCTCATATTCAGAAACAGTTTGATCAGACCCATGGCGAGACCTGTTAGACGAAGTAGATGCATGACTAACACGACGCCTTTTTCTCTGCATGACAAGAGTTCAGCAAACAATTAGAAAATAATTCCACAACACTGCATTTAGCTCCACTAAGTACGGATAGGTTGCATTTTCTATCCCAAATTGAATATTACACACTCAAGATTATCGACTCCGGCCCATCCACATATATTGGCAGATGATAGTTTTGATCAGAAGATAACAAAACTGCACTCCAAACAATATGTTTCTGAGAATACTCGGAATGAAAAAATATATATCCATTTCTAATGGAGGCAATATTGATTTATGTTTGGAATAGACAGCCGAGCAAATAAATTCAAAAGCTAGGATCACAAGAAATTCCTGCCTCAATAAAGGAAACAACACATTCACTAGTGAGCTAAAGGATACAACACCACAAAACATCTCAAGAACATCAAAATTCACAAAGATCATCATATCCTGCATCTAACTTCCAAATCCAAAAACTAAATTTATTTAAGGAAACAAAAAAAAAAAAGAACAAATTTTAGAACATCAGATCCACTCACATATTGCACGGGCACTGGCGCTGGCACTGGCACCGGCACCGTTATCCGCTCGTCAATAGACACGCGGAGTATATTAGGAAACCGGCTGCTGAGCAGCTTGACGCAGTTGCCGGAGCAAACGGAGGCACCGATGCGGACTGTATCACGGCTGAGCCGGTCGAGGCTGAGCCACCGCTTGCAGACCAGCGAGCAGGCGTCCCGGCTCGTCTTCGACTCAACATGCCGGAATATTTCTAGAATCAATTCGTCCGGTAGAGCCGCGTTTATCAGATCAAAACCCCTCATTTCTCGGCTTTTCTTCCTTTCTTGTCTTCCCCAACAATAAAATCGAATCGCATTAACATGTAATATATACAGACATGTAAATGCGCGCTCGTCTTTGTCGGTATATGCAGATTCCAGGTGAGAGGGCAAACACATATATTTATGAGGATTGAGCAATAATTTTGTTACATACAAAATCATATTTTGTGCTCGCAATACTATTAATAACTATTTTTCAAAGTATTATCTATAACTAAATTAAGGAAGATGTTACGGTCCCATTACAAAATTCTTCCGCCGGGATTTGTGATCGTTAGATCAAATACGTCTGACGGTTACATGATGATCTAACGGTTACAAACTTTGATAAAATGGTTTCATAACAGGGCCACAACATTTCCTCTAAAATATAGAAGGCTAATTCAAATAATTTTTTTAAAGTCTTCAAGAAAATCTTGCACACACATAAACAAAATAAATTGTATTGTATTATTAATTATAGTAATTTAGTTTAACAAAGTCATCATCATTACTTTAAAGCAAAATGTTATATCATACAAAATCAGTTTATTCAAATCTTGATATAATTAAGATAATTTAACTTTTTTAAATAGCATGCATACATGATTATAATATATGAACTAATTACATTTTTTTGTAATACATTCTATATAAACTTATTATATATATATATTACATTATGCACTATGATAAATATTTTGTTAATATATTGAATTATCGAACTTTAGTTGCAAATTTTGTCATATGGATTACAAGATGTTGATTTATTTTCTTCTTGCTAAGGTTCTTGGACATGTCTAATCATTAGATAATTATTAATACATAGCCCGTGTGATGCACATGATAAAATGTTAAATGCATCACTAACATATGGTCGATCTATATAAAAGAAAAAGGTACACTTGGATCATCTATTCTCTACCTCTTTCAATCAGAGTTGTTTTTTTAGCTGAGTGTTAAACTTGAACCGGTTAGCGCTAACAGGTAAATTAATTAATGCTAACACGTTTATACTAATTTAAATTTAATTATAGTGTATATATTGATTCTTTCATATAAGAAAAAATAACAATTTTACTTAGTCTTGTTCACCACATAATATTTAGTTACTATTTTATTATAATATTTATAAAAGTTATAGAAATAGTCTTCTTCTTATTTTTATTTTATGTAATAAAAATATTTAATGTACGCTAATATTATTTACTAACGTAATTAATATAAATTATGTAAATATATTAAAAATAAAAAATTGTTCTCCTCAGGAATTTTGTTATCTTTCCCAATAGAAACCTTATTTGTAAAATCAATCGATAACTCAAGCTAGAAATGATAGCAAGATGTTTGAGGCACATGGTATATCAGTCAGTCTTTTACATCAACTACACCTCTGACAGGAAAAAAACTCAGCATACTAAGGGCGTGCATAACTTGGCTTTCTGGTTGAGTCTAACAAAACAAAAATCCTAACTTGGCTAGGGATGTGCTCAATTTCCAGCTTCTCAAAAAGTTAGTATATGATTTTGCCTTCACTATATTATGTTTAAAATGAGGCTTGTGGTATATATAAAACCGTCCATGGAGGAATAGTTGCTCATCTGCCAAAAAATGTGGATAAAATAAAAATATAGAAGCTTATATATGTTACGGTAAAGTGTCCTATTTATTAGTACAACTATTCCAATCATTTTATAAAATAGAAATGTTTCCTTCCAACCTCAGGATATAAATCTTTCCGCAAAAAATTTAAAATACATTTAGGTAGGATTTTTTGAAATATAAAATTCAAATATAACAAATGCCATAATTTATGGCAGCTAAAGGTGCCCGATTTTTTTATAAATAAAAAATAAAATTTTTGAAAAAGCATTGCAAAAATAAAATGTATTAATTGTCATTTGACTTTCCTTGCTACTTATTTTATGAAAAGGATGGCTTTATAAAAAAAGATCATATAAGCATACTTTAAAAATATAATATAAACATAAATGTCTTTCTTTTCCGTAAGGTTCTTAAACATGTCCAATCTATATGTATATCTATATAATTACTAACAGATGCATTAAATTAAATCTATCTTCATAATGTTCTTGCTCATTTTTTCAATTAATGTAGAAACGTTACATTTTACATTAATAAAGTTACTAATTTATTATATAATACTAGTATTTGATCATGTGCATTTGCACAGATATGAAACACGTTTTTGTTTGTATTTATTTAGTAGACATGTACTTCTATCATATAATATTACTTTTCTTAAGTTATTTTTATCATTCAAAATTAATTGAGATTTAAATTTTATTTTAACTATGCAATGTTTACATTAGTAACGTGAATGAAATAATTTATATATTTGTGGCATATATTAATAAAGTTAACATAAATAAAAAATATAACGGTTTTAGCAGATTAATGAGTAATTAATTAAAAAAAAGTAACTCCTTTTGGAGGGAAATGAAAATAGGTTTTATTAAATGTTTTATTAAATGCATCAGCTGGTAATTATATATATAGATTAATACTAAAAGTAACTGATTATAATTTTACATTAAATAGTATGTGGAAGTTACATACTTATAAAAAATTGTATTGCAATTTTTTTTAAATACTTTTTGTAAAATAAAATATTTTTTGTCCCTTTAAGAGATTTTTATCTAATATTAATTAATTGGCATGAATGTTATAATTAAATACCTTAAAATTATTTAGACTATTGCTATAAAAATGATAAAAATAACTGTAATACTTTTCTAACTAATTAATGTATGGTCTCTCTAGATTACTAAATATATTGTCCATTAATATTGATGGCATCAATATAAATATTCATACGTAAGTTAAATTATTTATATTGACATTTACACATTTGCATATAGTCAAAATTTTAAATGTAACACATCCATTGTCTAATATAAATTTTTATATATTGTATGCATACATATAATATATAATTATTTTTGTGCATGTCCACAAGATTTTAATACTAGTATATATAATTGCTGGCAGAGCAATAAATAAAACTTTCAAAATTTTCCCACTCATTTTTTCAGTTAATGTAGAAATGTTACATTTTACATTAATAAAGTGTAATAACAATTTTAAAATAATTCATTTTTAATATCACTACTAACTGATTATAATTTTACATTAAATTGTACGTGGAAGTTACGTACTTATAAAAAATTGTATTGTAATTTTTTTTTCTTTAAAATACTTTTTCTAAAATAAAATATTTTTGTCTTTTTAAGCAACTTTTATCTAAATTAGTTAATTGGCATGAGTGTCATAATTAAACACCTTAAAATACAACAATTGCTACAACAATGATAAAAATAATTGTAATACTTTTCTAACTAATTAATTGTATGGTCCCTCTAAATTACTAAATTATATTATCCATTAAAATTTATGACATCAATATAAAGATTCATATGTAAGTTAAATAATTTATATTTACATTACACGTCTGCATATAGTGAAAACTTAAAATGTAATACATCCATTAATTAGAGGGCTTCGTTGGCGACGCGTAGGAAAAAAACGGCACTCAATTTCGAGTTCGAACGAGCTCAAACGAATCCTAAACGCAAAGTCGCGCAGCCCAGCAGCAACACTAGTCAGGCCTAGCGGGCAACAGATAGTCGACCTTGGCAAACCCTAGCGGCGCTAGAGCCTACTGCGGGCAGATCTCATTTTTTTTTTTTTTCTTGTTATTGCTCTACTTTTCGAGCCCTTTATATTGGGACGAAGCCCCAGACATGTAGATTATCTCCCAAATTGTTTCTCTTCAATATTCTCCCTTGGAAACTTGATTTGATTTTGGAGGGTGACACTTCAAGAATTGATTTGTAAATAGTTTCTTAAGGATTATTTCTTCGTTTTTTTCTTTTTCTCTCATGTTTAGATTGTTGGAAACAAAGACATTAGGATCGAACTCTTGCAAGTCTTAGTCCAACTGTAAGTTTTTAATTCTATCTTATTATTGTTGATTGGATTTATGTTTTTCAATTTAGTTAACATGGAACTAGATCCAAGAATGAGGTAATCTGTTCACCTAAGTTTAGGGATTTTGATTATTGTTTTGAATTGTGTTGAATGTGTTTTGTTCAATCTATGTGAGTTGCTTTAAAAAGGGGTTTTCAATTCTCATTCTTGAATGTTCAATGTTGTTGAAGACCGCCACTTCAATTTGCAATTGTTTTTCAATTGGATATGATTTATTCGGGTTTGACGATGTTAATTCCAATAGATTAGTCGATTAACCACCATCTAATCTAAATTAGTTAACTCTTAGAACCGAAAGGGGAGGAATTGATTGATTTAGGCTCGTATAGAGTAGATTTGTTCGTAGAAGTATTGTTTATATGTTGCTTGATGAAATGAGTTTGTCATCTATGTGTGTGCTCTTGTTACGAAAAGTTATTGAACATATACCTCTAAATGTGTACGCTTGTTAAATTACGTAACAGAACAATTATGCATTCATCACAGTTTAGAACTTGATGGGATTTCTCGACCCCTAGAATTTCATCTTATTCTCTAGTAATTTAATTGCAATTCTTTCATTTGCTTTTCTAATTTTAGTTGGTTTTAGTTAATTTTCCATATCATTTATGATTAGATTGTTTAGGACTTCTTTTTCTTTTGTGTGCAATTGACATCGAATCTAGATTTCGAACCGTCTTCCTCGAGAGATCAACCCGGGGAACGAATCATTCGATTCGGTACTCGGTAAAAATAACTTGATACAACAAATTTAGCGCCATTGTTGGGGAAGGCAAGTAGAATATTTAGTTTTGGTGTTGATCTTATTTTCTGTGTTTCTCTTTATTTTGTTATTCTTTTGTGTTTATGTTATTTGTTTGCTTGTTTTGTTTTTCTTCATGTTTTTGTTTTTTGTTTTTTTTTTTTTATTTGTCTTGGTTTTTCGTGGCTTCGTGTGATTGTTTTTGTTCTTGTGTACAAGGATTTTGAACAGAAGTATCAATGAACCAGAG